CCTGGGCGTATTCAAGGGGCCAGTCTACCGAGTTTGGTTAAATTTCTGCAAGTACTGGGATGGGGTGGGCATTGAACGCAAAACCTTGTGGTGGCTAGCCAGGCGCTCAGTCACTTGGGCCCCTCCGTCCTTCCGACTTTGCGTTCGGTTTTATTTATTTATTTTTGAGTAGAGTCTTGCATTTCTGTCCTGACTCACTGGAACCCGCACTGTGATCCCCCTGTTTTACTCCCGGGTCGTTGGGATGTTAGGTGTGAACTATCACACCTAGCTTTTCATTTGTGAGTTGGAGATCTTGTAAACGTTTTTCCCCAGGCTGACCACAGACCTTAGTCCTTGTGATGTCTACTGCTTGAGAAGCTGGGGCCGCAGGTCTGAGCCACAGCACCCCGTGAAGCTGTGCTTTTTGCGTAGATGATCTGACGTCGCGGGAGCTGAGTGGGCTTGCTGTCCTTCCTTCTCCTCTTCTTGCGTGGTTTACTGTGTACACCGGGCGGAGCGCAGCGCCGGCACCGGAGGGTAAGCCAGCACTGAGTGTGGGGTGCTGAGAGGATGGGGGTGGGCGGGCACCGCCAGGAGGTCCCCACGCTGTCCCCAGCCGCTTCCTGGGTCATCTGGAACTCGTTTTTTGTCACCTGGCAGAATCATACTCATGTCTCAGGAGTGACTCCCGTCCCCCAGGGAGCGTGGAGGATCGAGTGGTCCCCTAGCTCCTTTGGGGCGCTCCCTGAGCTCTATTTCCCCAGCCCACTGGTTCCCTCCCCCAGGCTCTGGAATGAGGGGCTCTCACCCGTGTCTGCTCCTCCCTGGGACTGTTGGTTACCAGACAGTGATGGGTGTGGTGTCCTCTTCCTGAGCTGACATGATTCCCTGTCCCTGCCACTCTGCCCTCTCCCTTGGAGGGCAGGTTCGGGCTGGCAGGAGCCCTGGGTCTGGAGGAGCAGGAGGCTGTGCTGGGAGGAAGAAGGAGGCCTGGCCGTGTGGCTGTGCTCGGAGGGGAGGCCTGGGGGGCCTGGAGGTGGTGAAGGGGAGGCTGTGGAGGGGGAGGCATGGGGAGAGGCTGTGGAGGGGAGGCTGTGGAGGGGGAGGCAGTGGAGGGAAGGGTGTGGACAGGGGGCCGTGGAGGGGAGGCTGTGGAGGGGAGGCTGTGGAGGGGGAGGCATGGGAGAGGCTGTGGAGGGGAGAGCATGGAGGGCAGGCAGTGGAGGGAAGAGTGTGGACAGGAGGCCGTGGAAGGAAGGCTATGGAGGGGAGGCTGAGGAGGGGAGAGCAGGGAGGGGAGGCTGTGGAGGGGAGGCTGTGGAGGGCAGGCTATGAAGGGGAGGCTGTAGAGAGGAGGGTATGGAGGGGAGGCTGTGGAGGGGAGGTGGTGGAGAGGCTGTGGAGGGGAGGTGGTGGAGAGGCTGTGGAGGGGAGGCTGTAGAGAGGAGGGTATGGAGGGGAGGCTGTGGAGGGGAGGTGGTGGAGAGGCTGTGGAGGGGAGGCTGTGGAGGGGAGGCTGTGGAGGGGAGGCTGTAGAGAGGAGGGCATGGAAGGGAAGCTGTGGAGGGGAGGTGGTGGAGAGGCTGTGGAGGGGAGGCTGTGGAGGGGAGGCTGTAGAGAGGAGGGTATGGAGGGGAGGCTGTGGAGGGGAGGTGGTGGAGAGGCTGTGGAGGGGAGGCTGTGGAGGGGAGGCTGTGGAGGGGAGGCTGTAGAGAGGAGGGTATGGAGGGGAGGCTGTGGAGGGGAGGTGGTGGAGAGGCTGTGGAGGGGAGGCTGTGGAGGGGAGGCTGTGGAGGGGAGGCTGTAGAGAGGAGGGTATGGAGGGGAGGCTGTGGAGGGGAGGTGGTGGAGAGGTTGTGGAGGGGAGGCTGTGGAGGGGAGGCTGTGGAGGGCAGGCTATGGAGGGGAGGCTGTAGAGAGGAGGGTATGGAGGGGAGGCTGTGGAGGGGAGGTGGTGGAGAGGCTGTGGAGGGGAGGCTGTGGAGGGGAGGCTGTAGAGAGGAGGGTATGGAGGGGAGGCTGTGGAGGGGAGGCTGTAGAGAGGAAGGTGTGGAGGGGAGGCTGTGGAGGGGAGGTGGTGGAGAGGCTGTGGAAGGGAGGCTGTGGAGGGGAGGCTGTGGAGGGGAGGCTATGGAGGGGAGGCTGTAGAGAGGAGGGTATGGAGGGGAGGCTGTGGAGGGGAGGTGGTAGAGAGGCTGTGGAGGGGAGGCTGTGGAGGGGAGGCTATGGAGGGGAGGCTGTAGAGAGGAGGGTATGGAGGGGAGGCTGTGGAGGGGAGGTGGTAGAGAGGCTGTGGAGGGGAGGCTGTGGAGGGGAGGCTGTGGAGGGGAGGCTATGGAGGGGAGGCTGTAGAGAGGAGGGTATGGAGGGGAGGCTGTGGAGGGGAGGTGGTAGAGAGGCTGTGGAGGGGAGGCTGTGGAGGGGAGGCTATGGAGGGGAGGCTGTAGAGAGGAGGGTATGGAGGGGAGGCTGTGGAGGGGAGGTGGTAGAGAGGCTGTGGAGGGGAGGCTGTGGAGGGGAGGCTGTGGAGGGGAGATGGTGGAGAGGCTGTGGAGGGGAGGCTGTGGAGGGGAGGCTGTGGAGGGCAGGCTATGGAGGGGAGGCTGTAGAGAGGAGGGTATGGAGGGGAGGCTGTGGAGGGGAGGTGGTGGAGAGGCTGTGGAGGGGAGTTCTCCCTGGCTGCATAGCGACTCAACTGTGTGACTGTAAAACTTGGGAAGATTTCTATTTGTCTCATAAGCAGAAGAATGGAATCCGTGTCCTAGCCTACATGGATGAGTTGTTCAAAAGAGCAAGTTTTAGCCCATTAACTTTCTTTTATTTTGCCATCTGTTGGAGTTTAAATAACAAGGCGAGTGGAGAGCACACTGGGGCGACCAGGAGGCAGTGAGAGGCGTTTAGAGCCCCCGGGGCCCGCAGCGAGGCTCCCAGCCCGCAGGGAGAGCCAGATGGGCAACCCGGACCCAAGCCTACCTCCCCCACCTCCCTTCAAACTGAGTGACTTGTGGAAGAAGGAGAAGGAGGCGTCGAGGTGAGGAAACCGCAAGCTAGCCTTGGCTCTGCCCCAGCTGGTAGGCTCCGGGCTAGGGTGGGCTGCAGGGGGTGAGCCCACCCTCCAAGCCCAGGCCTCACTCAGCAAGCTCAGCGCACAGGGCCTGTTCCATCGCTCTGGCAAATCCTTGCGGGTCTTGGAGCCCGTGGGTCTCGCATGGGCCCTAGCTCAAACCTGTGTCACAGGCGTGTTGTGACCGACCAGTCAGATAACGCGTTCAAAGCCACCTTGACAACAAAAAGACAACAGCCGGCAGGTCTTTAACTTTCTCCTGACTCGGCTGCATGTTGTTTGGAAGGGGGCCGTGTGGGCTGCATGGCGTTTGGAAGGGGGCCGTGTGGGCTGCATGGCGTTTGGAAGGGGGCCGTGTGGGCTGCATGGCGTTTGGAAGGGGGCCGTGTGGTGGGCAGCCCAGCCGGACACCTCTATTGCACGTGACACCACCCGTGTCTCCTGCTCCTTGGGTCCACTCATCCCTCTGTGAAGCCTCTGGGATGACAATGCCCCCCAGGCCCTGGCTCTGCGGTCACGCAAATTCCCTCCAGCCGAGTTGTGGAGCTGGAGACCTGGAAGGTGCTGGCTCCGGCTGTCTGGAGCCAAGAGCTCGTCCTGCTCACGTGCTGATGGTGCGGTGCTGGAGACTCACAGATGGCTTGAGGTCAAGAGCTTGGAGCGGTGGATGCGCTTGGGACAGTTCTGAGCAAGCCAAGGGCCTGCGTGTCACCGAGTGCCAGCGCTGTGCCGGGGACTCCAGGAGCATACGTCAGCTACTGCACCAGGCTCCGGTCTGTTAGGACCCTCCACGCTCACAACCCCAGGTGAGGGGAGAGGCAGGCTGGACAGCAAAGAAGGGAGAAGAAGAGGCGCTGGGAGGGGGCGTGGGGGTTGTGAGAAGGTGCTGGAGGACAGGCAGCGGCTGCAGGGGAGAGAAGAGGATTTCTGATCATCTCCTTTAGAGAGGAACTGACTGATCCAGGCCAAGCAAGGCCTGACTTGCTCTTGGACACTGGTTCCATTACAGTCTCAGCATTCCTCCAGCCTTTATCATTCATTCAGCCACCCATTATTCATCTATCCATTCGTCTGTTTATCCATCACCCATCCATCCATCCTTCCATCCATCCATCCGTCCATCCATCATCCATCCATCCATCCATCGATCCATTTTTCATTTATTCATCCACCCATCATTCGTCTATGCTTTCATCATTTGTCCATCCATCCATCCATCCATCCATCCATCCATTCATCCATCATCTATCCATCCATCATCCATCCAGCCATCCATCCATCATTCACCCATCATCCATCCATCTATCATTCACTCGACATGTACTTGCTGGGCCCTGCTCTCTGAGCACTGCTAGCTCCTGGGATACAAAGATGAATGAGATGTGGCTGAGTGTCCCATTCCAACAAATGGTTTCAGAAACACAAGATACATGTTCTCAACTAGTTACAGGGTGGGCACAGAGCAGGACAAGGTCAAGTGCCCAGCACTTCCTAAACTTCTGTGTGCCAGGTAAGTTTTCAGTGCTGAGCAGGTACACATCCCACTCTTAGGGGTCCTTGGTCCAGTAGAGGAGCCTTATGCATGTGAGATATTTGTGCTAAGAGAAGGAGAGCGTATGGAAAGGGGCAAGGATGTATGTGGTGAAGTTTGGGTTGGATAGCTGCAAATGTCTTTCTGGTCTGTGCATAAAAAGTAGAAGGAGGTGTGGGAGGCAATGAGGATCCTTGGGAGAAGCATTTCCTTCAAGAAAAGAGAAAGGGAGGGTGTCGTAAAGTATCATCTATTATGAGGGCTCTGAGAGCCTGAAGAGAGGACAATGGGGTTCTGTGGAAGGTGGAGGTCCCCGTGGAGCTGGGGTTCTGTGGATGGAGGTCTCCATGGAGCTGGGGTTCTGTGGAAGGTGGAGGTCCCTGTGGAGCTGGGGTTCTGCGGAAGGTGGAGGTCACTGTGGAGCTAGGGTTCTGTGGAAGGTGGAGGTCCCCGTGGAGCTGGGGTTCTGTAGATGGAGGTCTCCATGGAGCTGGGGTTCTGTGGAAGGTGGAGGTCCCTGTGGAGCTGGGGTTCTGTGGAAGGTGGAGGTCCCCGTGGAGCTGGGGTTCTGTGGGTGGAGGTCCCCGTGGAGCTGGGGTTCTGTGGATGGGTGGAGGTCCCCGTGGAGCTGGGGTTCTGTGGGTGGAGGTCCCCATGGAGCTGGGGTTCTGTGGATGGGTGGAGGTCCCTGTGGAGCTGGGGTTCTGTGGATGGGTGGCGGTCCCTGTGGAGCTGGGGTTCTGTGGGTGGAGGTCCCCATGGAGCTGGGGTTCTGTGGATGGGTGGAGGGCCCCGTGGAGCTGGGGTTCTGTGGGTGGAGGTCCCCATGGAGCTGGGGTTCTGTGGATGGGTGGAGGTCCCTGTGGAGCTGGGGTTCTGTGGATGGGTGGAGGTCCCCGTGGAACTGGGGTTCTGTGGGTGGAGGTCCCTGTGGAGCTGGAGTTCTGTGGGTGGAGGTCCCCATGGAGCTGGGGTTCTGTGGGTGGAGGTCCCCGTGGAGCTGGGGTTCTGTGGGTAGAGGTCCCTGTGGAGCTGGGGTTCTGTGGAAGGTGGAGGTCCCTGTGGAGCTGGGGTTCTGTGGGTGGAGGTCCCCGTGGAGCTGGGGTTCTGTGGGTAGAGGTCCCTGTGGAGCTGGAGTTCTGTGGAAGATGGAGGTCCCCAAGGAGCTGGGGTTCTGTGGATGGGTGGAGGTCCCCGTGGAGCTGGGGTTCTGTGGATGGGTGGAGGTCCCTGTGGAGCTGGGGTTTTGTGGGTGGGTAGAGGTCCCTGTGGAGCTGGGGTTCTGTGGAAGGTGGAGGTCCCCGTGGAGCTGGGGTTCTGTGGATGGAGGTCCCCATGGAGCTGGGGTTCTGTGGAAGGTGGAGGTCCCTGTGGAGCTGGGGTTCTGTGGAAGGTGGAGGTCCCCGTGGAGCTGGGGTTCTGTGGATGGAGGTCCCCATGGAGCTGGGGTTCTGTGGAAGGTGGAGGTCCCCGTGGAGCTGGGGTTCTGTGGGTGGAGGTCCCCGTGGAGCTGGGGTTCTGTGGAAGGTGGAGGTCCCTGTGGAGCTGGGGTTCTGTGGATGGGTGGCGGTCCCTGTGGAGCTGGGGTTCTGTGGGTGGAGGTCCCCATGGAGCTGGGGTTCTGTGGATGGGTGGAGGGCCCCGTGGAGCTGGGGTTCTGTGGATGGGTGGAGGTCCCCGTGGAGCTGGGGTTCTGTGGATGGGTGGAGGTCCCCGTGGAGCTGGGGTTCTGTGGGTGGAGGTCCCCATGGAGCTGGGGTTCTGTGGATGGGTGGAGGTCCCTGTGGAGCTGGGGTTCTGTGGATGGGTGGAGGTCCCCGTGGAACTGGGGTTCTGTGGGTGGAGGTCCCTGTGGAGCTGGGGTTCTGTGGGTGGAGGTCCCCATGGAGCTGGGGTTCTGTGGGTGGAGGTCCCCGTGGAGCTGGGGTTCTGTGGGTAGAGGTCCCTGTGGAGCTGGGGTTCTGTGGAAGGTGGAGGTCCCTGTGGAGCTGGGGTTCTGTGGGTGGAGGTCCCCGTGGAGCTGGGGTTCTGTGGGTAGAGGTCCCTGTGGAGCTGGAGTTCTGTGGAAGATGGAGGTCCCCAAGGAGCTGGGGTTCTGTGGATGGGTGGAGGTCCCCGTGGAGCTGGGGTTCTGTGGATGGGTGGAGGTCCCTGTGGAGCTGGGGTTCTGTGGGTGGGTAGAGGTCCCTGTGGAGCTGGGGTTCTGTGGAAGGTGGAGGTCCCCGTGGAGCTGGGGTTCTGTGGATGGAGGTCCCCATGGAGCTGGGGTTCTGTGGAAGGTGGAGGTCCCTGTGGAGCTGGGGTTCTGTGGAAGGTGGACGTCCCCGTGGAGCTGGGGTTCTGTGGATGGAGGTCCCCATGGAGCTGGGGTTCTGTGGAAGGTGGAGGTCCCTGTGGAGCTGGGGTTCTGTGGAAGGTGGAGGTCCCTGTGGAGCTGGGGTTCTGTGGGTGGAGGTCCCTGTGGAACTGGGGTTCTGTGGATGGGTGGAGGTCCCCGTGGAGCTGGGGTTCTGTGGGTGGGTAGAGGTCCCTGTGGAGCTGGGGTTCTGTGGAAGGTGGAGGTCCCCGTGGAACTGGGGTTTTGTGGGTGGAGGTCCCCGTGGAGCTGGGGTTCTGTGGATGGCGGTCCCCATGGAGCTGGGGTTCTGTGGAAGGTGGAGGTCCCTGTGGAGCTGGGGTTCTGTGGAAGGTGGAGGTCCCCGTGGAGCTGGGGTTCTGTGGATGGAGGTCCCCATGGAGCTGGGGTTCTGTGGAAGGTGGAGGTCCCTGTGGAGCTGGGGTTCTGTGGAAGGTGGAGGTCCCTGTGGAGCTGATGTTCTGTGGGTGGAGGTCCCTGTGGAACTGGGGTTCTGTGGATGGGTGGAGGTCCCCGTGGAGCTGGGGTTCTGTGGGTGTGTGGAGGTCTCCATGGAGCTGGAATTCTATGGAAGGTGGAGGTCCCTGTGGAGCTGGGATTCTGTGGATGGGTGGAGGTCCCTGTGGAGCTGGGGTTCTGTGGGTGGAGGTCCCTGTGGAGCTGGGGTTCTGTGGAAGGTGGAGGTCCCTGTGGAGCTGGGGTTCTGTGGGTGGGTGGAGGTCCCCGTGGAGCTGAGGTTCTGTGGAAGGTGGAGGTCCCCGTGGAGCTGGGGTTCTGTGGGTGTGTGGAGGTCTCCATGGAGCTGGAGTTCTATGGAAGGTGGAGGTCCCTGTGGAGCTGGGATTCTGTGGATGGGTGGAGGTCCCTGTGGAGCTGGGGTTCTGTGGGTGGAGGTCCCTGTGGAGCTGGGGTTCTGTGGAAGGTGGAGGTCCCTGTGGAGCTGGGGTTCTGTGGGTGGGTGGAGGTCCCCGTGGAGCTGGGGTTCTGTGGAAGGTGGAGGTCCCTGTGGAGCTGGGGTTCTGTGGATGGGTGGAGGTCCCCATGGAGCTGGGGTTCTGTGGGAAGGTAGAGGTCCCTGTGGAGCTGGGGTTCTGTGGGTGGGTAGAGGTCCCTGTGGAGCTGGAATTCTGTGGAAGGTGGAGGTCCCTGTGGAGCTGGGGTTCTGTGGATGGAGGGAGGTCTCAGTGGGGTTGAAAATGGTCAGGTATGGGATGCTCCGAGGAATGAGCTCTGAGAAGAGGGCATATCATTCGGTGAGAACTGAGAGCTTGCAGATGCTACTATAATGAACTCTCAAGATGTCCAGGGAGGTCTTTGGAGATGCAGTTGAGACCAAGAGTCAGCAGGACACCCGTGTGGACATGGGGGTTGCTGTAGCGATGTGGTGGTGTGGAGAAGGAGGGGGCAGGGGGTGTAGTTGAATGGTGAATGCTGACAGGACAGAGGGAGAGTTCACGGGTGGTCTGATGTAGGAGGATGAGGATGAGGCAGAGGTGACACCCATTCTCCCTCCAGACCTAGGGGCCCAGGACATCAGACATGTTTTCCTGTGGGAAAGAGGAGGGGCCTGGGTATAGCACTGGCCCTTAGCGGAAGGGCCTTGTTTCCCTGTGAGGAGACGCTGCAGCTCTCCAGAGAGGGCAGCTGGGGTGCAGGCAGCTCCCTGGTGCCTGGAGTTACTGAGGTCCCACGGAGTTTAAACTCGCGGGCTTGTTGGCTTTGGGTCTAAACTACCATGTCGTCAGGATGAGTTGCTTTGCCTTCCTGTTTCTCCTCTGAGATTGTAAAACCGCGCTTCCTTCCTAGGAGGGCACAGAGGCTGAAGAACAGCACCGACGCTATTTGGTGATGAATCGCTGTTTTTTTCATTTGTACTTTCTTCTCTGGGACTGGGGTTTTTCATGTGTAAGTGTATCACAAAGCATAGCATGTGGGTTTAATGGGTGCAAATGGGTACAGTGCACATTTTCCATCTCAGATATGCACTCCACATAGTTCTAGAATTAGTCCCTTGTTTGGTAAACAGATGATACCTGCCCCACAGAAAGTTTCCCAGAAAACATTATATTCCCACTTAACTTCACGTTCTAAACCAGCAGGTAAGGAAAGGAAAAAAAATCCAGGTATATGTGTGTGTGTGTGCGCGCGCACACAAGCATACATTCACATGTGGCAATTTCCGAATCTACCATGATAGTTGTGCTCCACCTAATTGAAATGAAATTGGAGTTGATTTAATTACCAGCACTTAGAAAACTTAAATTTTGCTGGGTACATGTGTGTTACATGGAAATCCAAAAGAACCCGAAATTCCAGCAAGTGATTAGTTCATTATGTAGACTAATTGCTTTTGCGGTTATAAATAAATTCAGAATATCGCAGATCTAAAGCACACACCTGTGCACTAATTGCTTTTCTGAGAGCTGTTTCCATGGCAGCGGAGCAGACATGCTGCCACCTACAGATTGGAAGGTGCAGGTGGATACCGGGAGGCCCAGGGAAGAGCCAGCACCGCGGGGCTTCAGCACCCTCCCCTTTGGACAGCTCTACTTAGAGGAACCTGTACCCACACCGAATTGCAGAGGAATGTTAATTAGGTTTGAAAAAGAGTTTTCACTGGCTTCTGGGGCTTATAATGGGCCATAGTTTAGAAAGAGGTCTCGTGGAGTTGGTGCCCTGTTCATTGGAGCCCAAATCTGTAGCTGTTGATGGAAACAATGCTTTCTTGGGAACCTTCTAAGACGAGACTAATGACCAGAACCCTGGATGCTTTCGTTAAATATGTGCATTTTTAAAAGCCAGCTTCTGCCAGAATTTGCATAATCGTCCTCTCCCATAGGCCAAAGTTACCTTTAACTCTGTTTAATAGACTCAGTGCTGCATTATTAACAACCATATGCAGAATGATCACCCCGGGAGACCCCTTTCCTGGAGCATGTCTTCCTCCCTGATTGTCCACCTGCGCCCTCCTCCGTGGCAGGGCCGGCTTTCTAATGGACCTGTGGCATGTGTCTTTGGTCCTGGTGTTCAAATGGAGCCTCATTGTCTAGGAAAGCCCAGGGCTTTGGAGAAGGAATCCTGTTGTGAAACAGAAATGACCTTCTTTTCCCAGCCAGGAGCACAGGAGCTCTTCCATCAGAATTCAGCCAGGCTATCTTGGCCCACCCGCGCCGCAGTAACAGGACACCAAGAGTGGGCGACTTGTAAGAAACCGAAGTTTGTTTTTCAGAGCGGGGAGACGGATCAAGGAGCCAGCGGGCTGTCTGGAGAGGGAACGGCAGGAGCTGAGCGCTGTGTGCTCCCACGCCCTTTTGTGAGGGTGCGGGAAGAGAGAGATTGGCATGGAAAAGGAGGTGACAGACCCCAGTTCTCACAGTCTCGTCCCTGCTGAGAGCCTCTACCTCTTAGAGCTGTCAGATCTGCAGCCACTGTTATGCAGGGGGAGGGGGGATTTCAAATCCTGAGCATGGGGCCATGTGTTTCCTTTTCCCTTCAAAACTTAGAAGATGCATTGCTCTTCCCTTGGAGATCCTGTTCATTGTGTCCGTGTGTCCCGATGGTGTTCCTGGTGATAAAGGGTAAAATTCAGGACTGTGCATTGCAGATTCACGGTCTTCATATACCTTTCCGAAAATCTCAGTTTTCTCTTGACTTTCATGACTTTGGTACTTTCACAGATTCCAGACCAGTCACTGTGCACACTGTCCGTCGGTTTAAATCCCCCAATACTTCCAATACTTCCTCCTGATCGGACCCAGGTCGCATGTTTTCTTTCATCCTGTGAGTGTTCCCCGTGTGTGTGTGTGTGTGTGTGTGTGTGTGTGTGTGTTTGCGTGTGTGTGTGTGTGTGTGTGCGTGCGTGCGTGTGTGTGTGTGTGTGTGTGCGTGTGCATGTGCGCGCGTGTGTGTGGAAATTGGTGAAGCAGAAGTTCTTTGCTGTCGCATCGTGTGATGCTTCTTGCTTGACTCCTTACGACACAGAAATGTCAGCTGTCCTGCCATGAACTCCCGCCAGTGCACACCTCTGGGTAGGCAGAAGCAGGAACAAGGAAGGAAATCCTCCAGGAACAGGGAGTGCTGGGCCCAGGGGGCTGGTGCCCGGACGCAGCGGATGATGCAGTGGCCCTGCTTCTTCCCTCATGGACTTCCTTCCCAGAGGAGGCCAGCCTTGCCTGCCCCTGGGCGGGGCACTCTCTGTGGCCTTGAGCACATGCACACACGTCTGCCTTCCCGCTCCGGCAGCCACTGCCACCATGGACCCCTTGGGAGGGCCCAAGGGGAGGCCTTGGCACCACACCGTGCAGAACCTGGGCTTGCTGGAGGAAAGCCTCAGCGGACAGCTCTGGGCGGGAGTCCTCCCCTGAATGGGGCCTCATCCCTGAGAGCACTCGGCTCTGCCAACACCACGTCCTTCGCTCTCTTCCTGCCGCTTCTGGTTCTTTCTCAACAGATCTTAGATGTTACACCCAAGAACTGAGAAACATGGAGCCTCCAAACCACTGCACCCCACCAACTGCTCCCTACCCACTGCACCCCAACCACTAGCAAGAATTCTTTTTTAATGTTTAAAGGTGATGTACAGAGGGGTTGCAGTTACACGAGTCGGTCATGAGGACATTTCTTTATGAACAGTGTCACCTCTTCTCTCATTTGTCCCATTATTTTCTCTCCTGACCCCTCCCCCACAAGTTGCGTCGCTCATTTTCTACGCAGTGTGTAGTGAGTATCACGGCTGCATTAGTTCACTCTGTGTCCCACCGTTTCTGTGCTTCCCCGTTCCTTCCTCAAGTCAGATAGACTTACATACATGTCAATAGGTACAGAAATAAAAAAAGGGGAAAAACAGAAAAAACCCCGCAAAAGTAAAATAAAAAATCTCTTTTTCCTCATTTCCTGGCGTTCATTTCAACAAACATCATTTCATATGATCATGTGCACATAAGTATTGAGTCCTTGTAATTCCCTCCTAAGAATAGCTTCCTGTTGGTCTCATTGTGTGAATGATTAGAGTCCTGTTTATCTTGTCCAAGTGTAATTTTTTGTCTTTTACTACCCATTAGGTTTACTTGTAGATTTATAGGCACATTTTAATTATTACAAATGAGGGAAACCATGCAACCTCCTTCTCTGGGTCTGGCTTACTTAATATAATTTTTTCTTTACAATGGGGCAATGCCATTCTTTCTGATGGAAGCCTAAAATTCCATTGTGTATATATACCTCATTTTCTTGATCCACTTGTCCACTGAGGGGCATCTGGGTTGATTCTATATCTCAGCTATGGTAAACAATACTGCAATGAACATGGTTGTGCTGGTGGCTTTACCGTGACCTTGCTTGTGTTCAGTTGGGTAAATGCCCAGGAGTGGGATTGCCAGGTCATAGGAAAACTCTATGTTTAGTCTTTTAGGAAGCTCCACACTGCTTTCCAGAGTGTTTGAACAAGTTTATGTTCCCACCAACAGCACAGTAGCATTTCCTTTTTGGCCACATCCCTGTCAACGTCTGTTATTGTTAGTTTTCTTGATAATGACCATTCTAACTGGGATGATGTGGAATTTCAATATTGTTTTGATATGCATTTCTTTTATGGCTAGAGATGTTGAACATATCTTCATGTGTTTATTTGCCATTCTAACTTATTCTTCTGAGAAGTCTCTCTCTTAACTCTTTAGCCCATTTACTAATTGAGTTGTTTCTTTGAGAATTTGGGGAGGGTTAATTTTTTGAACTCTAAGTATATTTTAGGTATAAGGCCCTTGTCTGATGCATAGATAGTAAAGATCTTCTCCTATTCTGTGGGTTTTCTATTTATCTTACTAGTTATGTCCTTTGCCATGCAGAAACTCTGCAGTTTTATGCAATCCCATTTATCCAGTCTTTCTTTGATTTGTTGTGATTCTGGAGCTTAGGAACTTTTGCCCTCTGGCAAGGAGCCCTAGTGTTTCTCCTATCCCTTCCTGTAATATTTTCAGGGTACCTGGTCTTACATTGAGTTCTTTGATCCAGTTGGAATTGATTCTGGTGAAGGGTGATATATAAGGTTCTAACTTCTATTTTCTGTGCATGTACAGCCAGTTCTACCAGCACCATTTGTTGAGAAGGTTGTCTGTCTTCCACCCTGGTTTTTTTTGGCTCCCTTACCAAATATTAGGTGGCTATAGGTCTGTGGGTTCATTTTGGGTCTTCAATTCCATTTTGTTGGTCCTCAGGCCTGTTCTTATGTCAGTACCAAGCTGTTTTTATTACTATAGCTTTGCAATAGAGTTGACATTTGGTATTGATATTCCTCCAGCACTGTTCTTCCTGCTATTTGGGGGTCTTCTATTATTCCGTATGAATTTTTGGATTGCTTCCTCAATATCATTGAAGAATGTTGTGGGAATTTTGATAAGTATTGCATTGAATTGTAGATAGCTCTGGGGAATATT